GCGGAGCCGCGGCGCGCGCAGCGGGGTGCCCATCGCTTCTCTAGGCAGCATTTGTCTGAGGAGTGATCAAGTGACCGAAGCGCTCAACCCCGGCGGACGGTGTCGATCTGTGAGGTTTGGAATAGTAATGTTCTGCAAAGAATGCCCACAGAAGTTGACATGGTGACTTTTATTTGAAGTGGTGATTTACTTTAGACTTGTAAAGAATGCACCTTACAGCCTCTGACACAAGGATTTTAAAAACGGTGTCTGTTAACATCTCTCCTGCACACATGGGAAAGATGCTACCGCCGCTCCCATCTGCAGCGGCACCCTCAACTTTTAAAGCCAGCTTTTATATTCTTGCTCTAAAGGTCTCGTCAAGTATTCCTGTAGAATCTTTTTCCTTTCTTCTTTACTGCTCTTTCAGTTTGGGGTTGGCCAAGCTGTCGTCTCGCAGGGAGGCCGTGCGGAGGCCGCCGCGGGCGCACGGGGGCGGCTGCGGGTTTGAAGCTGCCCGGCACCACGGTAGAGCGGTTAATAATTCATGCCATGTTAATGCATAGACTAGGCTAGACTGCCCTGGACTTTGAGGGTGTTGTAAAAGCTTTGGAGACACTGTCTCAGGAACGTTTTTCAGATGTTAGCAGTTGACTCCTGTTTGTGAGTTGACCTAGCTGATTCTTTTCTTAAAAAATACTATTCTGAAGCTTTTAATAGATACATTTTTGTATTACTTTAACATACTACAAGAAGAATTCAAATCTTTTTTGGATAATTAAAAATACTAAGGCTTTAATTTTAAGTAGTGACTGATTTAGCTTCATTGTTTTTACCAATTGTTTCCTTGAAGGTAGTTCAGCTCTCTAGTATCTGGCTTATGTGATACTGCCTATTGGGAATGAAGATATTCTGATGATCTGGTGGGATCTGGCTGTTGCTTTTTCTCCCACCATAAGAATTTGCTGCCTCTTTCTATTTAATACTCCTATAAGATAAAATATAGGCCAGAGTGCCATTGTTTCCTGTCCTTTATGGCTTGTTTGACACCGTAACTTGGCTCAAACTGGATTACAGGCATCATCACTGCACACCTTAGTGTGGATTATAGCTGAATCTGTGTTGTTGTAGGTGTGGGGCTGTCGACCGTGACTTCCTTGTTCAGTGATGAGAATGGTTCAGTTTTGTGGTAGCCTACCCTTCCGCTAAGCCGGGGGTTCAAAATGGTGCTTATGTTCTTAGCTTGAAGCTCCAGGCTTTTTTAAGCCTTGAGTCTTAATTTCTTTTTATAATTAAAAGTTAAATTAGCAGTAATAAAAGTAAACCTGTTTTCCTTTTTTTCTTGTGATATTTAGATTGATATATCCATGTAAAATTTAAATTGCTTGCTTTTAGTCACTTGACACTAGCACTATGTTCAGTTCGGGTACATAAAATGCTTCAGTATATCAGAGTACGCTAAGGATAAAGCTGAGAAATAATATAAAAAATCAGTGATAATCCTCCCTTTTTATACATCTTCAAATGATAATATAAAAAGCAATATTATTTCTAAGTGACCTTGTTACAGTATCTGTTGTGGCAGGAAGCTCCAAAAAATACATAATAGGATGTTTCTATAGCATGGAAGCCTACAGAACTAGATCCGTGACACAATTTCTTCGAGAGGCACTTGGGAAGTATTTTATCACTCAGTGGTATTGAGCTTTTCTGCCGCTGTCAGCACAGAGGCTTGAAAATTCAAATAAAAAGTATTAGTAATGCTGAAAATTTTAATTAAATGTATCTATCTTCCACTGACTAATGACTTCCGAAAATGTATTGTAAAAATAACATCTAAGAATGAAAATAAAGCCTGAGTCATACATGCTATTTGTTCTTCCTTCCCTAGTTTTAAAATGAGCCCACTGAAATGCCTCAAACTGCACCGCAGCTTTGCAGGCTCAGAGCTGCAAGGCTGTTGCCCAGCGTTGAACGGGTTACCCAGCGTTGAACGGGTTACCCAGCGTTGAACGGGTTACCCAGCGTTGCGCGGGTTACCCAGCGTTGCACGGGTTACCCGGCGTTACCCAGCGTTGAACGGGTTACCCAGCGTTACCCAGCGTTGCGCGGGTTACCCAGCGTTACCCAGCGTT